ACGCCAGTAGAAAATGTACACCTCAAAAAGTGGTAGAAATCATCAAGAACTCTCCGAATCCCCTTTGCACAAAACCAAACCATCAGGATTGACTCCTTCTAACTCAACCAAGCTACACAAGCCATCGAAACCTAAGAGCATTGCCACGAATCACCTGTAGAAACCTACCGCATCAAAAGCACCCAAGAACCGGTCATATCCATTACCATGCCAATACAACCTACTACCAAGTTATCCTAATTCTCTTAGTTCCATTCCGAATTACCTTCAAATTTATATGTTTCCTTGCTAGTACACCACTATCCTTAACTAAAACATGCCCCGCGAACTTTAGCATAAAACCACACTGCCCTACAGCTCATAAACCGTTGTAATCTTCTAAAGCACCCTAAAAGTACCACAACCGACATACCCACTCTGAAGAGACCCTATGCAAATCTAAAGCCATTACATTTGCCTTCCTAATACTGGCATGTATAATCCATAATGATACAGAATGCCACAAGTCCTGACATTTTCCCCTATAAGTCTCAGTTTCTAGCCAACACGCATCCTGAAGATTCCCAGTTTCCACGTATAAATCTTTAATTCATTGGAACCATTCTTGAGAGTCATTCACTCTACTCAAATCTCAATTAGACTGACCAAACGAACCGAACGACATGTGCCCCATTAGCACTCCAACACCCAAGGAAGTAACCCATTATTCTAAGCCGCCAAGATAATTTTCCTACTCCATACACGTTACACCCTTACAAACAACAACTAAATCATCCAATGATTCTCATATACCCATACAGCATAACACAATCGTTATCCAAAATTTCCTTTATGCAAGTCATCCTCAATCTCAACCTCTATAAGCCATAACTGATTCACCAGTACACCTCAAATTGGAACCAACACAACACACAACCGTGCAATCAACTCGTTGATAATAGACTTCCCCACTTGGCTCAAGGCCATAAATCAGAACACTCAATAATTCACAATTCCCACACTCCATCACTGCCATAATAGTGCTGTGGGATTCAACTAAATCCTTCGTAAGCTCGTGCAACATAAACCATCTAGTGTTTCAAATCATCTGCAAATCTCGCATTCACCCTCGTAATAGTCAAGCCCATTCTCATAAGCGCTCAATTTTCAACACATATATTTCACTGGTAAAAGAGGACTCCCAACTAACAACATAAGGATCACACAAACCTCAGAACACCCCGCAGGAGATAATGCACTTGCTTAGCCTCAAACTGGCATCTCTCTATAATCTTCCATAATCATAACTATTACACAATCACTTAATCTTCTTGAGTCTGAACTCATATCACGACATGAAATCTACTTCATTCCCCAACTAGACACATGAAAAGATCCTTCAAGACACCCATAACTCGGGGCTACATATCAAATCAAGATGGAAATAGTTCTTTCTACTCTCAAGCAGACCCCTTCTCGTCACATCCAAATCATATGAACATATCTCGCAGTCACATCATACTCATCACATAGCCATCCAGCCATCACTTCCACAAATAGGGACACTACCGAACATATAAATCTAAAGAAACGTGCTCACACAATCAACACCTTAGTGCTCAAGCTAGAGTCAAAACCCGGCCTCAAGTCCTCCAGACCGGCCCATCATCAACATGCCAAGATCACATCTCGTACCTCATCTAGAAGATCACAAGCCGTCGATGCACAGTTGATACCGAGCACTCATGTGCGCATACGAATGCGTGGAAGGAATTCAAAGTGTTACACTTCAAGCTGAATCAATGACACACGATAAGAATTCAAGAGTGTGGAATTTCCTAAAGGTTCTGTAGCCTCTTGAAGATAAGTACAGACATCCCCGTACCGATCTCCAAGACTCTACTAAACCTACCCATGACTCATGAGACCGATGTAACCTAGGCTTTGATACTAACTTGTCACGACCCCAAAACCAAGCCGATCGTGATGGCGCCTAACGTGTTACTAGGCAAGCTGACAAAATACCAAAACCAATCAATATTTTTATTCTTAAGTTAAAATTCAAAGTTGTTTAACAATAAACATTCATAAAGTATATAAATCAAAACATCAGTGTAGAAAGAAAGCCTGACATCAAGGTGTCACTAGTCAAGAGCATCTATTAAGAACTGCCCGATAATACAAAGATATATACAGTCTGGAAAACAACTAATAACAATCTATAGGAAGATAGGAGGGAGAAGAGCAGGGCTGCGATCGCCATGCAGCTACCTTTCTAACTCCAACAGATCCACGACGGGTGAAATCAACAATCACTAGCATGTCCAACAACTCCTGGATCTGTACACAAGGTACATGGATTAATGTGAGTGCACCAACTTAGTAAGTAATAAAAGTAAATAAAGGCTGAGCAGTAGGAAACACATAAAATCCACATCATGATAAACTCAGTAAACACAACATGCTTTCAAATCGGAATATGAGTCAAATCATCTTATTTAAAAATCCAGTTTTTTTGATAAAAATCATTCGAAGATGCTTTTCAACAGTTTCAATAGAGGTTCAATGTAGTTTATAGTGAAAGTGATGAAAATCATATTTGGCCCCTCGGACAAAACATAGTTCGTATACAGCCCCTCAGGCAAACCTCTCGGTCACTCATATACATCTCATAACATAAAAATCTTAGCGGAAATAACAAAGCCAAATCAGTAATTAAATTCAGAACATCTCGTAAAAACTCCAGTTTCAGTGAAAGTTGTTCAAAATATTTGTTCAACATTTTCAATAGAGGCTTAGTATAAAGAGGAGTGAAAAAAGTAATTTCATAAAACAAGCCCCTCGGGCAAAGCATCACTCGTATGTGTATATATATATATATATATATATATATAGCCCCTCGGGCAAGCCTCTCAGTTACTCATGACTCAACTCTCATCAATCAACACCCACACTCAGCACTCACGCTTAATAGGTACCTTATGATAAATGTTGCAGCGTGCAGCCCTGTGTGCAGNATATATATATATATATTGCTGCGGGGTTCAACTTGATCCATAAATATATAATCCTCACAATCAGGTACTCAACCTCTCTCAATCATCAATCTCACAAGCCATTCGGGCATCTCAATGAAAAATCAGGGAAACGCAGCCCAAAAAACTTTCAAATATTTAAAAATAGAGTAATGAAACTGAATCATACAATGAACAGGTAAATTCATGGTTGCGGATATGCTTTCAAATCAAAACAGTGTGAGGATAGTAACAAAATACCCTTGAGGGTCCAAACAGTACAGGCACAAGGCCCCAATCATGGAATTCAGCCCAGGTTATAAGAATTCTTTCTAAAATATATAGCTATTATACGGCTTTAATCAATATATGCAACTCTATAGTCGCTGCGAGACGGACCAAGTCACAATATCTAACGGTGCACGACCGTCGTCTAGCATGTGCGTCACCTCACAATAGTGAAACGCCGTGAAATCCGGGGCTTCATACCCTCAGGACAAGATTTACAATCATTAATTACCTCAACCCGGTCAATCCTCTACTTCGCAATTCCCTTGCCTCTTGAACCGTCCTCCAAATGCCTCGAATCTAGCCACAAACAATTCGATACAATCAACACGAACAAAAGAGACCAATCCCATAGGAAAATACTAAGCTTAAGGCCAAAAGTCAAAAAGTCAACTCAAAATTTGGGCCCCGGCCCCACGTCTCAAAATCCGACCAAAACCACAAAATACGATAACCTACTCTATTACGAGACTAATCATACTAGTTTCACTCAATTCCGACTTCGAATCGGCTTTCAAATTCTAAAAATGCATTTTATGAAGTTTCACTAATTTTTCCCAAATTTTCACCCCAAATCACTAATCAAATGATAAAATCAATGATAGATTCATGTATTTTAGCCAAATCCGAGTTAGAATCACTTACCCCGATGAATTTCTTGATAAACCTTCGAAAAATCACCAAAGCTCGAGCTCTCTAGGTCAATATATGAAATAAAACCCCAAATCTCGTATTTATATTGCACCTCTCAGATTTTCATTTCCGCTGACAGCCAAAAATCACTGCCCCAGCGGAATTCCACCGCTAACTGCGGAATTCCTCTGTTGACCGCGCTTTTGATGGCTGCACAGATAGGCTTTAGTATTTTGGACATAACTTTGTATACCTATGTCCAAATGATGATTCCTTTACCTTTTTGGAAAGGAGACACGAAGGGCTACAACTTTCATTTTTGAATCATCTCAAAATTACTTGTAGATCAAAAGATATAGGCTTCCGAAGACGGACCAACGAACCTGCGGGTTCTTCCCTAGAGCGCCTCAACGGAATTATTCTGCCCTTAGCGGAGTACCTTCGCCCTCAGCGAAAATTTAAGCACCATAACCATGCCTGAGTTCCGGTAATGCCCGGACTCGCTAAAAATTCACCCGAAACACACCCGATGCCTCTGGAACCTCAACCAAAAGTGCCATCACGTCCTAAAATACCATACCAACTCAATTGAGCTCTTGAATCACCTCGAACAACAATAGAAACATCAATCACACATCAATTCAAGCTTAATGGACTTGAAACCTCAAACTTTCACAACCGATGCCGAAACCTATCAAATCTCGTCCGAATGACCTCAAATTTTACAAACACATCACAAATGACATTACAAGCCTACTCCAACTCTCGAAATTAGATTCTGACTCCGATATCAAATTTTTTACTGCTGACCGAATCGCCAAATTTCCAATTTTGCCATTCAAGCCAAATTCCATCATGGACCTTCAAAACATAAACTGGACGTGCTCGTAAGTCCAAAGTCACCTAACGGAGCTAGCAGAGTTGTCAAAATTCAAATCCGAGGTTAAATACTAAAAAGTCAAAACTTGGTCGAATCTTTCAAATTTAAAGCTTCAAGCTGAGAATCATTCTTCCATATCTATTCCGATTAACCTGAAAACCAAAACTGACGATTTACATAAGTCATAATACATCATACATGGCTAGTCATATCCTAGAACTGGCGAGCAAAATGCAAGTGCTCAAAATAACCGGTCGGGTCATTACAATAATAAAGTCCGCTGGGAAGATGAATTTCCCAATTTGCAGCAACATATCTTCAATCACTCCTTCGGGGTAAGTAATGGATCTATCGGCTAATTGCAACATTACAGTAGTTGGTCTTGGAGGTCCCAGACCAAGTTTCTTCAACAAGGACAAAGGTGTCAGGTTTATGCTCTCCCCCAAATCACAAAAAGCATGGCCTACATCAACATTACCAATCCGCACAGGGTTGGTGAAGCTGCCAGGATCCTTAAGCTTTTGAGGAAGCTTGTTTTGGACCCTCGAGGTGCACTCCCCAGTAAGTGCGACTGTCTCGAATTCAGTCAATCTCCTATTGTGAGCCACTATATCTTTGATGTACTTAGCATATTCTGGAATTTGAAGAAGTATATTAACCAATGGAATATTTAATTGAACCTGGCTCAACATAGAGAGAAATTTGTTAAACATGCAATCATCATTCTTCTTCTGCAACCTTTGGGGGAAAGGCAGTGGTGGCCTTACTGCACCCACTGGCTCTGAACTTGCATCAGCTTTCATTGACTCATGTGTTGCTTTAGGAATGAACTCCCTCTTAGGTACAAGCTTATCTTTTCTTTTCTATGGAACCTCTTCTAATTCCCTTCCGTTTCTAAGTGTGACTGCATTAACTTGAGGATTCTTCTCTGTTTCACTAGGAAGCGCACATGCAGGCCTAGTATTTTGATTTGCAACCAATTGCCTAACTTGTCTCTCAAGATTTCTAAAATCGGTCCTGAATTGCTGATTGTCAAGCAACAACTTCTTCAACAGGTCATTTGCATTCTCCTCTACTTGTTGAGGTGGCTTCTGTGGTTGACTTTAATTTTCTTGGAGTCTATACTGATTCTGAGTTGTCTGATTCCCACCCCTTGAGAAGTTAGAGTGATTCTTCCAATTTAGGTTGTATGTGTTCCCATATTGTGCCTGCTAATTTATCGGACCTCTACTTTGTTGCCCCACATAATAGATGGATTTAGGATTCGCGGCACTTATGTCACTCGTGTGACCTTCACCATATAACTCGCAACAGGCAGACATCTTTCACATGTTGCATTTGTTGTGCTTGATGCATAGTCATTTTATTCATCTGATTTTCCAACCTTGCTATATCTACCCTCATGGCTGAGAAATCATCGAGCTCAATCACACATGCTGCCTGTTGTTTAAGTGTTCTTCGTGGTTCCCCATCTCTTTGCCAATTATTATCATTAGAAGTGAAATTATTTAGCAGGATCTGGATTTCACTATACGGTCTTGCCATACAACTACCCCCATATGCTGAGTCAAGATTCATCTTTGATGTTTCGTCCAACCCATTAACGAAAGTGTGACCCAGCACTTTATCAGTCTGACAATGATGTGGGCAGTCTCTGAGTAGATTCTTGTATCTTTCCTAAGTTTGACGAAGAGTCTCGCCATCCCATTGTTAAAACCCAAGAATCTGGCTCCTCGGCGACCTTGTCTTCTTAGTGGGAAAAAACATGATTAAGAACTTTCGTTCTAGATCATCCTAAGTGTGGATCGAGTTTGTTGTCTCCTTCTGCAACAATTCTTTGGCTTCCCCTAGTAATGAAAAGGAAAATAGTGTCAGTCTGACGTAATCCTTAGAAACATTAGGATAATTATAAGTATCCGTTATTTCCAAAAATTTCTAAATGTGTAGCTGCGGATCTTCATGAGATAAACCCACATATTACCCTGTGGACTGAATCAACTATACCATGTACTGTTTGAGCTCAAAGTGACTCGTGATATTCGGCTTCACTATAGACTGAGTCATATTAGCAAGATTAGGCCTTGCGGCCTCAATCACAGGTCACTCTTCATTACCTGCCATCTCTAGTGGTTGAGGTTGAACTACGATGTCCAACTCTCCTTCTGTTCTAGTTCTAGCTTCGACTTCCATTCTTACCCTTCAAAGTGTTCATTCTATTTCAGGATCAAGAGGAAGGAGGTTGTTCGCATTTCTACTCCTCTGCATTCAAGAGAAAAGCATGTGTTAACACAAATAAAGCAAACTAAAAGTTAAAACTTGAACAAATAATGAATAAAAGCTTAACTTAGATAAACAATCAATAACTAATTCCCCGACAACGGTGCCAAAAACTTGTTGGTTCCTATATACATGGCCGTCAAGTAATAAAGTGACTCGAAAGTCGGATGTCGAACCCATAGAGACTTAGAGTAATTGTTAACTAAGCAAACTAAAATCAATTTACTATCCAAGATAATCAAGAGTTTTATTTTCCTATTAATATACTATTGGGGAAATTAAACAAGTAACAACTAATTTATCAAGAATACAAATGTGTATGATGATATTTTAAGTAGAGGATATGAAGATTCCAGGGTTGTGGTTGGTTTATCAATCCTATTAAGTTCAATAATTATACTCGTTAATCCAAATTATCTATGGTAATTGACCAAACCGTTTATATGAATAGCATGTTCTCACAATACTATTAGCCTATCCACAATATATCAATCCTATATTCCTATAGTATTGAGTCTATCATGAACGAATATAATACGATATTCCAATAAGCAAGACTGTTAGGTATATTCCTATCCTAACCGCGAAATCGTTCCCCGAGCTACGAGTTCATAAACAAGCTCTCTTTAATTCTACTCTAATCTAAACACGGCTTTCCCAAGCATAGCATAGATAGTAGGGTGAATTGGTAGCTACAACAAGTCACAAGTCAAAACTAGAATTAAAGAAACAACCACAAGATGATAATCCGAATTAACGAAGATGTAATTAGTAAACGTTAATAATTATGTCAACCACAACCCTAGAAACTAGAGCGCTTAGCCACTCATATTCATAGTAACAATTTTCAAGTATTTTGCACAAACAAATTACAAAGAAAAAATGAAGGAATGAAGAACTCGATGATTTTCTCCTCCAAAAGTTGTTCCATGTTATGTTCTTGCCTCCAAATAATGTCCGACCCCTCCAAATTAATTTTAGAACCCCTTTTATACATGTTAGGGTGTGTAGGGTTGAAATCCCCAAGTCCCAACCAAATTAGGACAAAATCCACCCTTTGGCGTCTCGCTTGGCGCCTGGCACCAACCTGGACAGCAAACTTTTTGGTCTTCTGTCAATGGCGTTTTGGTTGGTGCCTAGCGCCAACTTGGACAACAAACTTTTTGGTCTTCTGTCAACAGCATTTTGATTGGTGCCTGGAACCAACCTGGGCACTAACTTATACTTCCTCCAAATTATTCCCTTTTTATGTCAATTTGCATGCAAACTCCCGAAATCACTTTCAATTGACTCCTACACATAAAAATACTATTATTAAGCTCGAGTCACAAATATTGACAACAAAGTTAACAAGATCAAGGCATAATGCAAAGCAAATTATATGCAAAAATATGAAATTGTAGCCAAACATCACAATGCAACTTCAGAAAATTCGAATCTTAAGTAGTTCTATCTCTTCAATACAATTTCAGAAATCAAATCTTAAGTTTTGAAACATAAACTTTTTCTTTGAAGTTCAAGAATTCAACACACAATTCAGGTCTCAAATCTACTCCAAATGAGCTCAAGTTTGGAACATAACTTTCAACTATCATAAAGAATAAATCTCAATCATCAAATTAATAAAACACCATCAAATCTAACATACTTATTAAGAAGAAGAAGAAGAAGAAGAAGAAGAAGAAGAAGAAGAAGAAGAAGAAGAAGAAGAAGAAGAAGAAGAAGAAGAAGAAGAAGAAGCCCCAAGCACAACCTACAGTGATGTTTTGCAACTAAGAAGAAGTGGAAGAAGAAGAGGAAATCAAACGGCTCTCGGATACATAAGGCGTGAATATAGAGAAGAAAGCAACAATTAAGCTCCTAAACACATAGGACATGAATACAAGATGAAGAATGCAACATCGTAGAAGAAGAGTAAATCGTATATGAAATTACCTAAAACTTGGGTATCAGTTAAACTTTTGTACAAAAAAAAGTAAATATAAATTAAATGGGAATAACCAAATAGGGTATCCTGTGAAACTTTTACCTTTTTCTCTCGCTTCTAAAAAAGTAAAAAAGTAAATCAAATTCACGTGTAAACCCTACTAGAATAGATTGCACGTGCGGGATGGTGTTTAGAGCATTACATTGTCCCTAATCCCTTGCGTAAAGATTACTAAAAGAGTTTAAATGATCCTGAATTAATACTCCGGCCTTGAGATATTGAGTTGTTTTTTCAAATTCTTTCCCACGCTCTATATACGACCACTAGGACTTAAACATGCATTAATGGCGAGAGTGATCTAGAAAAAAAAAATTAATAATACAGACCACTAGGACTCTAAAAGGCTAAAATATGTTTTAACAGTTCCGAGATCGCAGATCTACATGATTTGGTCAAAAAGAGAAAAAAGTCAGAAAAAAGAGAGACAAGAATTAGTATATTATCGCACATGTTGGTCATATATCTAAATGATAGAAATAAGAGTATCATCTTTCACCCTCATATCTTGACTTCCCTTGCACAAAACCTCCCAACTTTTTCTCTCTCTCTTTTTCAGTCTCTTGGCAATCTAAGGTTTAAAATTCGATAAATCGTCATGTGTCTATGCTCATTCTTTTGGAGTTTTTTCCCCCTTTTGGCTTGAGTGATTAAATAGGAAAACGGGAAAAAAAGACGAGGGGAAGACTTGGAATGCCTTCGTATTATTTTCTTGAATGCGCATGGGTTTGTATTCTGAATTATTAACCAGTTACCATGATAGATAAATTGAGCATATTCTTCCCAAATTCTAATATAATCAGTAATAAAAGATTTTACATTAACCCTGTGCCGTGGAAGAATATGGTGGGTCAACTAATTTTGAGACAACAAAACAAAAGATATTAAAATCTGAATCACGTTGGATTTAGGATCACGTTATTCATCTATTCCAAATTGAAGGAGCATTTTCTTATGCCACGGGATCTAAAATTTATAGTACATGGGTGCACTACTAAAAAAGGAGAAAAATATGCATTAAGTGGAATTGATCCTTATTTCCCTTAGTAAAAAATTCAACCTTCAACAAGTGCACCATTTAACTTTTTTTGAGAATGGGTTAATATTATACAAATTTTAAAAAATATATCCATAAAATACCTAATTTTACGAAGAGGCCTAGGTTCATGTGCTCCATAATTTCCATTTAAAATCGCCCCTGCGTCGGCTAGAAATATTTATTTTCTTAAGAAGAAATGTTTCAACATGAATTATTACCGGAAAAAGAAAATGAACAGGAAAACCCAAAAGACAAACAAAAAGTTCTAACAACTTATTTAAATAATTGTACGACAAGCTTTTTCACTTTTTTACTTTAGAATGAAACTTTGAAAAACAAGAAAGAGAGTACATTTTTATCCTATTAAAATGAATATTTAAATCTTAATATTATCTTCAAGATCCGCTGATCGCGTGCCATTGCATACAAAGTAACTCATGATTCATGAACCTCATTATAATTGTTTAGTCCTCATTATGTACGTTAACATATTCAATTTTGAA